ATCGGTTTGCATATCTTGGCTTCTCATTTCACGGATCGAGGGAATGGCTGCACCTGGCCAGTGATGTCGAGTTACGGGCATGTTAAGGTGACCACTAGGCAACCGTCCGATGACACGATACAGTTGGCTCAGTTCTGCCTATTGACTGGGACATGGCGGGTTTTGCCTTCCGGTGGAACAAAGTATCCTCAACATTCCTGAGAGCTCAGCGGCTCCTGTCTACATCATGGCAGCTTGGCTATTGAACAAGCATCTGCCAGCAACCAACCTGGCGCTTTGGCAACTGCGTCTAAAAACGGCCAATTCTAGCTGCCGCTAGCTGCCCATTCTCAAGCCCACACGCTTTTTTCAAGGGATAAGGCACAGGGCGTGTCCATCCCCCCTACCTTAAAAGGAGGGGGTTGGGGGCGGGGGGCCCCAATTGTATTTAACTAGTCTTCCCCAAAGAAGGGAAAATGCCACACAAATGTTCCAGGGGCCACCCCCCTCGCCCAATTCCATCTTTAAAGGGGCTGGGGATGCGCGTCCACGGGTACCTCCAACCTTCGCCACGCCTTTCGAAACCTGCACTCGTCATCTAACCTTAGCGCCAGGCTGCGAGGCGAAGCGAAGCCTGCATGAAACCAGGCATGCGAGGAATCGGTTGAGCTTCAAACTGGGGTGGAGCGCCACGCTTGCACAAACAAACGCACACACACACACACACACTCTACGCCACGCCACGCCACGCCACACCGCACCCGCACCCGCACCCGCACCCGCACCCACACACACACACATAAACACGCGCCCGCTCGCATACACACCCAGACCCACACACAAAACACACACAACACGCAACACACACGCACACACAAACAATCGCATACACACAGACGCACGCAACCATGCAACCATGCAACCATGCAACCATGCAACCATGCAACCACGCAATCATACACCCGCCCAGGCCCAAGCTTAAAATTACACACGCACTACACACTCGCACAAAAGCGCAGAAATACACCAAAACACCACCGCTGATAGTGGAACCTCCACGTCTGCACCGCCATGCCCCAGGCTCCCGGGCCCCATGTCGACCTGCCTGGGACAGCAGGAAGAAGACATATTCGAATACAGGGCGCGCAAAACCGTTACACCCAGCGAATCCTAAAAGCATCACACGCCAATAGCCCGCAAATTGTCGTGCTGGCCGGGGTCGGTTGCGTTCAGGATCCTACAGCGATCAACACGCCAAGACCGGCAATCTTGAAGTATTATACTAAGCTATACATGTATACATATATAAAATATATCATATGTGTATTTATTATGCACTGTTAAATATACAAGACAAAATCAATAGTAAACACATTACACGCATAAGCTTGGCTATTCGCGCTGCCCTCCATTCAGCCAGGCTAAGGGAACAGCTCCAAACGGCTCCTTTGAAACCCTCAAGAACGCACAGGCCGTGCGCATGGTACACCTTCAAGAGTTGAACTCTTGACCTTTGGGTTTTTCAACCTCCCAACGTATTGCTCTCAGCGATGAAAAGGCATGGCAGTTCAGAGGTTGCGGCATGCATCGAAAAGCGCTTGGGACAGTGTGTCCTCTTCCTCCCAGCTATATATACATGTATATATATATATACCCTCCCTCCCGCTAACATACGTACCTGGAAGATCGATGTCCTCTTGGAGGGACCCTGTCAGGTGCCATGCTAGTCAAAGGGAGGGTGTTTATACATACTGACACTTGCTGAAGCCCCCTGGAACAAAAATCCAGCGATAGGTTCTCTTGAAACCAACAGGGGAAAACAACAAAATAAGCAACATCAGCGTATATCTTTCGCTTCTCTACACTGTACTCTACACTCACTTTCAGCCCAGGCTGCAGGCAGGCAACTGGCCTCCTATCGCCCCCCTCCCCCGCCTCGCAAACGGCGGAACAGGGTCGACTCAGCCAAATTTTGCCACGGGCGGCGATGCAATGATTCCAAAGGCCTCCCTCCGGTCGCTTCCATGTTGGCTTGGACTTGGCTGAATGGACACTTGCCCACCAAGTAACTAGCGTGGAACCTCACCGGAGGTTCCTGGAAGGCAACTTCCCTCTGTAAAAGGTACCGACTCCGGTGGCTCCATGTTGGCTTACTGTACAGGGTACGTCAAAATGCAACCCCGGAGTTGGAGGCTGTTTCACTCCAAGAAGGAACGCCTCTTTGACAATTCAATCTGACAGCCAGCCAGCAAAGGGGAGTTGATGATGCCAGCCAAAAGACTTTGCTTGATGCAGACTGGTCATTGAATCGTGGCATCCTCGAAATCTCCCTGGTCAACCCGCAGCTTGCGGGTAGAAAGGAGCTGGAATCCGGAACATCTCAAAGTGCTGAAGCCAACAGCAAATATTTTATTCCACGTCGGTGTTCGACTCAAGGGCCTTGAGGCTTATCGATAAGCCTCAAGGCCCGGGGAAATCGGAGTTGAAGCCTATACAAAGGATAAACCAACAGGCATCCTTACATGACAACACCTGAGCATTGCAACTAAATTGTGGTGTCCAACTTTATTTGGTGGAAAAAGCCATGTTTCACATGGTTGCAAAATGTAATGATTTTTTAAGGAGCCCTGAACAATAGTGAAGATTTGAAGCGCTTGCATAACTAGGGCGGGTAGTTATGATCCATCTTCCAGAAAGGGAACCTAGCGCTGGCGGGAATTATAATTAGAATGCCACATAATGCGGGCAAATGGTTTCTTACATTTGCCGCAGCGTCTGGGACTAAAACACATGCGTGTCGGATACCAACCAGGGTGCTGTGTCCTGATAATGCCTGATGCATTCATTGGCATGATTCTTAATGCGCGATGGAACATGTGTGCTAGAACCCGTATCGGGTTTCACGTGACTTCCTATCCAACACTTGGGGCTGGTTGAGAGTAGGCGTGGAGTGGGAGAAACCCACCATCCCTCAAGAACACAGTGTGAAAAGTCCCAAGGCGTTCCACAGAACTGCTTTCCAATCTGCCATGAGGCCCGGAATCACAAGCACTTGATCCGACTCGTTCCCTGATCGCCAGCCGAGAAAGCTGAGTCAAGGAAAGTAACTACACAACGTGCGCCTAGAGCAGTGCCGCAAATGTGTGCATACCTTTGATTATATAGCCTTCATTCAACCCAAGTACGGGCCAAGCAGCTCATAGTTCTGTGGAGTCATTTGACTGCAGCAGCCTTTCTCCTTGGCGCCTATGCGAGGCTTTGCCACCTAGCTGTTCCTGGACGCGGGGTGACCTGAGCGAATTAACCCGAATCGGGCAAAGCCAACTCCCAAGACAGAAAATTCTGTCTGGACAAGCTGAAGCAAAAGCATCAAGTCCAAGTTCATATGCCGGCCAATGACAGAATCCAGCCTGACTTCAGTCAACACAGCGAGTTTAGTTTGGACACATTGCGGCCCAAATTGTCCTACTATCTACCAATCCAAAGGCCATGACGCACAGTGGCCTGAGCTCCAGCCGGAGCCGTCTGCCCTGCGTCTTGGAAAACTTGATGCTCTGAGCTCTACTCAGGCGTCCTACTCTGTGAGACCATTCATGTGCCCCGTGTTTGAGCACCCGGAAAACAGGAGACGAACGCAAAAGCCTCAGCCCGATGTGGCCGCTGCCCGTAGACAATATGATCCACAGATATGACATGCAGCTAGACATCGGGAAAGCCAGAAAACCACAGGTATACTTTGAAGCGGCTAGATGTAGTCTGCAGGCAACGGTGCCACATCGAGCCGTGCTCTCCCGCGAATTCTCGCGACAGGCTTCGCTGTGCTATCGTTGACTCAAGCCGGCTGCCCGGATTTCTGACAGACATGATGACAAACATGGCCCGCCAAAACGCCCATGGAAATCCAACTGCGGAGCGGCAAATGGTACCAACGTGGAATGGCCCAATCGCCTCCTTCAGTCATCCTTTGAAAAGAGGCTGTTCGAGTACCTTATTTAACGATCTCAGCAGAATGGTCTCCACCCTGCTTCCTCTGCATCGCTCTGGACACACAAATGCAAATTGCTCGTTGCTCGTGGCTCGCATGTGTTTACCATGTCATTCGAGTCCCACTCTGCACTGGACCAAAATGCATTTCAACGAATTTATCCCACCTGTCCGAATGATGCGTTTAGGTCAAAGTTTACAATTGTTCTGATCGAGACAAGGCACAGAATGTAAAAAAGTACCTCCCGCACGACCTCTGCGCATACACTGTTCTTCGCTTGACCTCCGCCACACGGAAGAAATTCTGACCCTACCGAAGTTCCCAAAGTCTCCGGCGCTGTGGCCAGTGCCACAGATTGCCTGGCGGGCCGCGGCCCGCGGCCGCCCGAAAGCCGAAAAGCTGAGCCGCTGAGAGCTCTTTGGCTTGGTGAAACAACGGCCGTGCCTTTGCCGACCATGGCCCACCCGCGAAGTGATCGAAGTGGGGGGTGAAGGGATGGTAGCTCTACCTGCCCTCTGGCACAACAGCCCCCTTTTTTGGTAAGAAACAACTGCCACAGTTCACAACTGACAGAATGATCGCCCTTCCAAAACCTCGACGACTTCATGCACTGCAAGCAATTGCAGCTTCTTGCACGGCCTGCAGGTTGTTGTCATGAGTCAGGGGGTACTCTCTAACTCTTACCCCTTAGTTGCATACCGTGCAGCACGTTCAATATATGAAAGTATCTACCGTATCCACCTGTGTGCTCAGGTCTGTGACACAAGCCCTGTATGGCACCGAGCGCTAACACAATGCAAACCATGTGGAGTAGCAACCCCGAGGCTATTGAAGCCCGCTGCGATGATAACACAAAACTTCAAATAGAAAACAACGTTCCCTTTGCAGGGACCCCTGAAGGTCAGGTTCCGGCTGTGAATTGGTGGGAGGGTAAGATCTGAGTCAATCACACTCATTCCATTCATGCTGCTTGAATCTGTGATCAATTGATTGGCCGCGGACCGACCGGATAAACTGCTGGACGCGAGCCTCTCACTCAAATGCCATCTGGCAAGGAATGACCTGAACGGCCAGGCCCTGAAAACCACATGGCAACCCTGGATTAAACCCTCCCCCAAAAAAAGGGTAAAAGGGCACTACTGGGGGACCTAGTTAAGAACCCCTGGTTGATCTTCATCGGGAGTGTCCCTGGTTGTGGGGAATCACTGTTTCGGGAGGGGAATATCCCCCGATTGATAAAGCCAGTTTATTCAGCCGGGTCGACATGAACCAAAACTTCCAGAAACTGCCCGAAGGCATATAGCCTTCCAAAGTCACCTGGTTGCACCGGAATCCCGGACAAAACCGCCCCCTACTCTCATTTCCACCCTCCGATTGTCAGCTTCCAATGACTGGAGAAAGGACGGCTAAATCCTAACCCATGACCAACCAGCAGCTCACGCCTTATAGTCTTGTAGTGAATCACTGGCACGGATCCCAAGCTCAAAAACACACTCTTGGCCCCCGCATTCAGCTCAGCCACGGATGGTATGACTTTTGTGTCCGGCCTTTGCCTGCTAGGAGGTGTGCAACCGACCAAGTGTTTTTGTTTGCTTGTTTTTTTCCGCTTTCGCACCGAGCTAGCACGGATGACCACGACTCGGTGAGATTCTCTTCTCTGTATGGGGTGCGTCCAAGAATAAGGAACCCCCATTTTGGAGGAATCTCAAAGGGAAACCGTAGAAACCGAACGGTTGCAATGACAATAAACAAATACTTGGGGATGGGGTGTCCTGGTTACGAGCCAGCAAGAACACACCTGCACAAGCCCTACACAATTCAGAAGGCAAGGAAGCAAGCACGCAAGCAAAGCAAAGCGAACATCCCCAAAGCCACTGTACACCAAACCTTTCCGAAAAGCGACCCCGAATCATGTCTAAACCCATCCAGTCAACACAGCCCCGAATCATGCTCACAACAGCATGCTCCTGTGTTGCCATAGGTGGCATTGATCGAAAGATTCACTTCCATTTGCTGAAGTCCCGTGGAAAAAGATCCTTTTGAAACCACCGGAAAAATAACGCGCACACACACACACACACATTTCTAAGCAAATAAACGCTCATGCAAGTGATGCTGCACATTGCCGGCCAGGTCACGCTCGGGTCTTGGTAGTGGAAACACCTCCTGGCAAAGTTCCATCGGACAGGTGTGGCTCCGTGGTTGACCGGATGGAACAAGCACACGGTTTTTAGCAGGCACTCAAGTTTGCGTAAATGTTTTGCGGAGTGAGCAACCTGGACGAGCAGCCAGTGAGCAAGCGATCAAACAATCGCTAACATCACAAATGCACACGTCGTGCTTGCGAGCCTCGCTCGAGGAAGCAACTACTACGAGGTATCTGGGGCCCTGCAAAAGGGACAACATCTCCTAGCCCGCGATCCACGGTTGGAGTCACGCAAATCAAACATAGGCGCTTTGAATGGGGGTTCACATACACCTTTGTCCCGCTTCACATCACAGCAGAAAGGCGCCGTCATGGAAAGCCCACTTGCATTCAGCTTGCACAAAACATGGTTGGCATATCTTTGGGTCCATTGAAGTCCTGAAAATCGCATCCCTTCGCATCCCAGGACTGCGACCGAAGCCCAGCCGCATCTACGACCGCCGCACTGTGCTCGCTGTACTCCTCAAGAAGGAACCGAAACCCGACGGGGCAAGGCGGCGAGGGCAGCCAAGAGCGCCATTCTAACTGGGGTGCCCTTTTTACCGAGTCATGCTTCAAGAGAAGCCGGCGGATGGAGGAAGATCTTTTCACCGGGTCATGTTTTGTTTCTTCAAGAGAAATCAACTCCAAAACCGACTTGCGCGGAATTCAGCGGCCCAAACTATTTCTCGGTGCATCCCTCTGGATGGGCTCGAGGAAGCGAAGTCTGACCAGTTACATGTGAAGACTGTGGGAGGGTGAACGGAACATGCCCCTTACCGCCCAGGGCTTCCTCACGGGAGTCCAAAGTAAGGTCACGCCACATCCCTTGTTTGAGAATGCTTTTCTGATTCGTCAGGAGTTCGGCAAGAAAACCTAGCCAGAGTCGTAGATGATGCTTAGGCTTGCAAAGTAAAGTATAGTTGTAGCCAAAAGCGTTGCTGCTTGATCCTTGCAGGCCCCAAATCCACCCACCGCTCACCGCTCCTTGGTGTGCCACACCGTCTCAAAGTCTTCGCCTCACAACGTCTGGACTTTTAGTGGCGAAATTGGGCCCAAGGCGTCCATGTGCTTTTTCGCACCCTGGAAACAATACAAATATGTCCAGTGATAGATGCCCGTCGATTAAAACCAACAAGGGAATATACCAGAACATGTTTGTTATTCTCCCTTGTTGGTTTTAAATTAAACAAACGGAAGAACCGCTCAAGTCCAGGCACCCACTTCAGACAATGGCATTTCTTCGCCAGTGCTGGCGATCCCTCCCTGCGCGCCGTGCTAAGGCATCTGAAAAACAACCCCCGCGCAGGCCTGCTGCTCTGTCCATGCACACCTGAGTTGCGCATAAAACCCACGGACCTGCGGCCACGTTCCCACCACTCTTCTGCTTTACATCCAAAGGGCCCCCAACCTCAGGCTTTTTGGAGCGCAGGCTGGCACCCTTCCCTGCAACATGGCATCTGACGGAGGTCCCTTCAAGACAAAGGCACATGACTGGGAGAAGGGTACTTGCGTGATCTCATTGCCTCCAATTCTTGCACTGCACACTCCCCGGCGGGCGCCGGGCAAACATTGAACTGTGCGTCCAAAGATCCCCTTGCACGATTAGGCTGTGGACATGTTGTGTTCACTGGAGGGTCGGCTTGTCATCCCTGGCTGTTCTGACCTATAAAGGAACATGCTGCTCATAAGCCAGCAAAAGGGGGGAAACGCTACAAGAAATTATTGTTTGGCGGTTATTGGGCGAAATTCCTGCAGAAACTCCTGTTGCTGGTTTCCATCATGCACAAATTGCTAGAACTCAGACACATTATCAACAACGGATCCGCTAGCTTGGTAAACTCTGTTTTTTTTTTTTTTTTAAGTGCAAAAAGGATCGGCCGCCCAAGTAAGACGTCACCCCAAAGACGTCCACGAAGCAATACAGCGGCATCCGCCAAGGCGCCATTGGCCCCATGTCGAAGTTGGCATCCTGACTCTCTGTGGCCACGCTGTTAGACCGGCTGTGAAATAGAGATCAACTTGCGATCGGCGCGATAGGGAGAATGACCCTACATCTCATAAATCATCCCGTCTTGCTTTCTTGGGGACCCCGGGTTGGTGCTATTGTTTGCAGGGAAAAACCGGTGATATGGGTGTCCCTATAACTTGCGATCGGTGCGATAGGGAATGAGACATGGAATGACCCTCATAAACCATCCCACTGGTGTCCTTCAAAACCCCAAATACCCCGAAATGGTTCATTCCCACATCCCCTATCGCGGCACGTCAAAACGTTGCCAATCTCCCCTGTTGGTTCCCATTGGGGGAAATGGAAACAACTCAGCATATATATATAGTTGGTATGTTGCACCAAGTTCAGCTTCTGAAATCTTCGCAGGGGAAGTACTGCTCATAAAAATGATCAGCACCTGCATCCCCATGCCTTTTGTCATTCAGCTTGCCTAGCTTCCTTTTCCCAAACCAAAGGTGTGACACGCAGCGCAGCCTAGGTGGCTACGACGCATGTGTTGAATGAGGTGTCCATCTCAACTGCAAACCCAAAAACCAGGCTGGCTTCAACCGCGTTACGTTACTCCAAAGACCCCAGCAGGGCACACGTTTGGGTGGTAAAGGGCAATCCTCCCGCGTTTCGACCAACTCGAGGTCGCAAAACATCTTTTTGGGTGCCAAGCCTGGAGCCTGCGATTCCCCGGCCGGATCCCTTTCCGCACTTCGGGCGATCCGATCTCCGGCTTTCGGAGGTCTTCTCCGAAGGCCAAGTGAAACCCGAGGGCTTCAGCTACGGAAGCTCAAGAGCTGTGGCAACAGGAGCAAAAGGCACGGCCCATGGTGCTCGGGCCGTTTGCAATGGCCCCCCTATGTCTCTGCAGCATATTGTATGTACCAGGGTCAATCCCATACTTGTTCAGTAGCTGAAATCCGGCATGCACGTATTCTACATTCGAAGCCACGAACACAAATCGCAACACGCCGGGCAAGATCTGGCAATCGGCCATGATCAAGCACAGCGGTGCAATTGAAGAACTGGCTGGTGCGATCATTGCGCACAAGTTCAACTCATGCTTCAACTCCGCACAAAGCATCTGCACAAACAATGATAACTATTCCCTCGTATTTCGGAAGCCACCTCATGTTTCGGGATGTGGGGCTCTCGCAAGGGCTCACTAAACTCGCATTAAGTTGTGCAGAAGCAGGCGGCAGAACATTGCAAACAAGCTGCAAATGTCACCAGCGATAACCGTTGAGAAGCCGGCTCATAGCGTGCCAGTCAGCTTGCAAAACGAGGGGCGCGGCAGAAACAAACTTGTCCAAAGATGATGTTTGCTGAGTTGGGGCTGCCGTAAGTGCCTAAGCTTCCTGTCCTGTGTTCTCTCTTTCTCTTCCCCTTCCCCTTGCCACCGCAGTCGGTGCTGATTTATCCAGAGTTCGGTGGATCCCACACCCATTTTCTTCCACCAGAACGTAGATTTGGTTTCATATGTTGTTTGAAGTCGAATATTTTGTTGACCTCATCACCCCGAATTGCTTAGATCGGAGAGTTGAGCCACTCATTGGCTTGTCTTAACACCAAATGGGCAAGACAGCCTCTAATCCCAGTTCCGTAGCTACTAACAACGGGTTGCGTTTGTGCTACTTTCTAGCCCCCGTTATGTACCGATCTTTGTGCACCCTTTCTGCCCCAATGTACGGCTATATCTGGGTTTATGGTTAACCCATCTCAGTGCTTTTAGATACCACTGTAGCTGTAGTAGGTAACCGGCTACTGCTACCTATAGATGATACATGATGGTGGAACTCCTGATTGCCTACTATAATTTAGCTTGCCGGAAGGAAGCGCTGCATACATACATACATACATATACATACATACATACATACATACATACATACATACATACATACATACATACATACATACATACATACATACATACATACATACATACATACATACATGTGTATGCATATATATATATATATATATATATATGGGTGGTCCTATTTGGAGGGATCCCCCCGGACCCCACTGTTGATTGCTGTATACATATCTATATATATATGTGTATATATAGACATACGTGTATATATGTAAACAAATATTATATATATATAAAGCGCGTGTATATGTATATAATACATATATATATATATTAATATATATATATATACCATGGGGTGAACTCCACTATGTTTTCAGGGGCTTCTCTCAGCTTGTCAGCTGGTCATAGGCCGCCTTGGCCTGCCGGAACTGGGCGGAGGCCTCCTGCGCGCGGTCCCGGTTCTGGGGCCGGTCCGGATGCCATCGCCTTAGAACGCGCGCGCGCGAGCGCGAGCGAGGCGAGGAGATCGAGAGCGCTGACTCGGAGGGAAGTTGGTCCAAGGAAGCGGGGAGAAAGAGGCAGCGGGGGCCGGGTCTGGGATTCCAACGGGGGAATCCTCAACCGTAGCGGGGATATGGGGGGATTCCAACTTGGAATGCCTTTTTTCTCATACCAGGTTCATCAAACGGGGGAATCCTCAACCGTATCCTAGTTGGTTCCCCCTGTATCCCTGCAAGTTGGTTTCTGTGAGGAAGAACGGGTGCTGTGCGAAACAAACATCCCCAGGTGTTCTATGACACCAACATATCCCGGCCGCCACTTCAAACTTTGACCTGAAGAAGCGCTGGAATCTATCTCCAGGCCCCTTTGAACATGCATTTTGACCGCTTCTGTAAGGGTGAGACTCCGCTTTCTTCTGTGTGCTTTTGGAGGAAACCCTTTCTAAATTGGTCTTCCCTTCCTCCCACGAACAGATCGCACCTGTGGGAGGGTACCTGGAAGATCAGTTTCCTATTGAACCCCCCCGGGGATGCTATGCCACGTCGGAGGGTTGGTTTCAAGACAAACAGCCCCCCTACTTTCAGGGGGACGAGGGTGGGGGTCCCCAATTCCATTGATCTAGTACTCCTTACGAAATGGAAAGTGGGTTACCATCAATGGTCCCCCTTCCCCAATCAAGCTAGGTGCTCCGGTAGAGAGGTTAGAATAAGTTGGTACCCTTTTTTCTGTAGTCTATTTTAGTAGGGGAACCCTCCCAACCAAAAAAGTTGGCAGAAGGGCACCTCGCTAGGGGACCTAGTATCGTACGATCGTAAATTCCCAAAAGGGTGTTTCATGTTTTGAGGCTAGCCCGTGTTTGGTGCTGGCAGATGCGTCAAACGTTCATGCAGTACCTTGCCACCAGGTCTTTCTGCCCCGTCCCTTGCATTTGGGGAGCAGGCAGTAGGAGCGCTTCCGACCCCATCGAAGAGGACTCCCCCGTGTATCCAGGAGCCTTCAGTTCTGGACATGCTCATGACACAGCAATCAGGACATGCTGGGCAGTCGGCCCAGGCACGCAGGTTCCAACTCCCGTCAGCTTCCGTGCAGGAGCAACAATCGAGCATCTCCAACAGGCCGAAAGCCACCTGGCCAACTTTGCCGCCGACCAAGGGACCCAGGTCAGTGCCACACTGTTACCACCAGCCACTGCCAGTGATCCCATCCGGGACAACCAGCGCATCTATCTGTCCACAGCCACGTGTGCCGGTGGAGTTCAACTCCCAGCTGATCTCAATGACAGGCTCGAGCCTGTCGCACCCCATGGACCACCAGCCCTTTCCGGAATTGCCAACACGCCAGCTCCACGTGCGGAATCATTGCTACAGTGCCTGGCACTCAGGGCCCACTGCATCCCGGCCCTGCATAGGCTCCAACTCGTGGAGACAAATGGGCCACTGTGGGCCGATGATGAGATGTACTTCCACCTCAGCCAAATCCCACAGGACTTAGGGCACCCTGAATGGCTAGTCGTCCTGGACCCGCTCATACCAACCACTGCGTACGAGCAGCAAGTGCCCACCCTCCGTCAGTGGGCGGACAGCTCCCAGCTTGCGTTCAACACACATGTCATCACCGCCCTGCGGGTTCAAGGGCATTGGGTGCCGATCATCATCCAATATGGAGCGCAGGTGAGAGTCATCTTCTACGATGCCACCACAGTGCACATTGATGCAGTGCATCAGATAGCCAATCTGCTGCAGGTAGCAGATCCCACCCCAATTGAGATCGCCTACAGGCCTAGACCTGTGCATCCATTCGGCATGTGTGGGCCGGTGGCCATTCTTTGCATCCGTGACTTCCTCAATTGCCCAAGCATGCAATCTGATGATCTAGTGCAACAGAGCTGGCAAATGCGTCAGCTGTTTACCCGACTGTTGGAGGCCAAGGCCACCTGCCTTGCCCCATCTGTTTGGGGAGCAGGGGGGGATGCAGACCAGCTGCAGGTCCAACTTGCCTCCGTCCTGGAGGCCCACGGAGTGCCAAGCAACCTGAGCCATGATCGCGCACGGCTCGGATTGCATGCCATCGGTGTGACACCAATCCAGCAAGCCATCACCTCCAAGGCCCAGTGGAAGGCACTCAAGGTAGTGGGTTCGCAAGCCAAATTTCAGTGGATCCGACCGGATGAGCTGCAAGCGCAGGTTGATCAGCGTGCAGCCACAGGTCAAGCCGTAGGCCGGAAGCACAAACGCCCGAGCCCAAAGGAAACCGCAACCGCACAGGTTCAGGTACAGGTGCCGGCTACCCAGGTCATCATCAATAAGGGCACCTTTGTGCAGGAGCCTGATATCCCCCTTGGTGCTATCCAGCTGCAACAAGTAGGACCTTGCGTTGCAGGTGTTGCCGTCCTCAATGAAGGTGAAGCTGAACCATACCTCCGCAATGGACGAAGTATATCGTCCCAGGCCTTTGCAGCAATCGTGCTGAAGCCACTCAAGGATCTCATGAGCACTAAGCTCCCGTGCGAAGAGATTCAATTCCCTGCCATGTGTGCCGTTACGGGCGAAGCCATCATTTTGCGAGGCACGCTCATCCAACTAGGTGAGAAGAAAGTCCTTCGCCCCAAGCCGGCCAAATTGTTGCAGGTTGAGGTAGTCCCCTCGGT